ACATGTAGACTTGACACCTTGACCTCTGATAAATCCAAAAGTCCAAAATTTACTACAAACTCGTAATATAATTTTCGGTACAATTCTAAGCCGCTTCAGACCTCGTTGCTTTCTTCCTTCCTGTCTTTTTTGTAAACTTTAATAAACAACTACATAATTGTAACATTACTTTACTTTATAGCTTTATTTACATATTGTTAAATATTATTATAAACTTTAATGATTACATTATTTCATAAAATATATTTTTCAAAGAAATATCTAAACAATTCCAATTAATTAAATATAATTAATTATATATAATAACTCTGGAAGTTAGCTTATGTAGATTATTTCAATAGAAAATGTACATAGTAGTAATCCTTATCTATTCTAAAATTTTCAATCTTCTACTAAATCAATTTCATATACAGGTAGCCCGAGTTAGTTTCCCCATAGGCAAACCTTGCTAAAAAGGTACACTTTCTCCATATAAAGGCTTCTATAATGGAATGACCTGTTCGAAGCATGAACTCCTATAGACCAAACCCAGTACCGTTTCGATTTTTAATCGTGTGGGAAATCCACTCATGAATTTACGAGAATGTGTGAGTACACAAATTATAACAGCGGCAGTACAACAGCAACACATTCAGCATTATCGCAAGAAAGAAAGCAAACCCAAAAGCCCCCGAGTAATGGCAACGCACATAGAGAGCACTCTTTCATGGGACGCTATTGGGTACATTAGACTATATCTCCCCCCCCCCCCAATCGGAAAAACCCTGTGCTACGAAACCCCTGGTCCGAATACAATTTTTTTAGAAAAAGCTCTCAACACAGTTAAGGCTACTATTGCACTGTGAGTTGCATTTTTAGAAAAAAATACAGTAGGAAGTGTTCTATTAGGCTTTCTGCTAGCAAGCTGGGCACATGTATGTAGACTGTAAAATGTCAACCCTTTGTGAGTCAGTTCAGCTAATAATGTCCAAAGCCTACTGTATGCAGTTATTGTATGTTGCTCAAGAAGGTTGCTGTACAACTACTGGACAGAGTCTGACCTTGAAATATACTGTAGCGCTCATTTTACTGTACTTGTAATACCTTGTCTCAATAGTTTACCTGAGTGATTACTTGAATGTGCATACAGTAGTAGGCAGTGATGAATACTGTACCTTGCTCATTCGTGTACATTATTACAACATGGAATTATGTAAACAGATTGTGGATTCTCAGTACAAATTATAAAAGTTTTTGGAATTGGTAAACTTTTTCTGCCTCAGCCATTTTGTAATGCATAAGTGTAGAAACGTCTCGCATAACCATACAGTGTATGCTGCATTAAATCCCAGAAAGCAATTGATGAGTCAGAACAAAAGTACAGCTAACTAAAGTGTAAATTTTTTTTGGTGATAATTTATCTGATGATATAGGAAATCAAACTTTATTTTATTTACTCAAGAAAATTTTGACAATAATTCATACTTTTAATACTGAGAGAGCTACTGTAATTGAAAATTATAAACAACACTATCCCCAATTATGAAAATTAGCTCAATTTCCTGTGGTTCTGTACGAATTGTAATGCAGTTACTGTAGAAGACAATGATGTCACTGAAAAAATCTTCAAAGAGATTTAATGCTACAACAGCTTTTTACATATTTTTTATTGAAATGCCTTTCCTGTATTCAGAGATGTGTGATTGGTGTGTATGTATCCCCTCAAATTTGAAAAGAATTTTCAAGACAAACATACTGTACTGTGATAAAATTTGTTTATTTAAAAAATAATGAATCTATATGGAGGAACGGCTGACGAGGACTACTTGATCATGATGTTTTCGCTTTGGACATTTTCAGCGGTGTAGGGGCAACTAGGGAGCGCAAGCTTTTTGTGGGGGGGGGGGTTGTGCGCCAATCGCACACCCCATAGATAATGCCACTAAATTGTACTTTGAGACTCATGCTTTCGCTGGCGCAAGATATATTAGCTACTGTACAGTAGTTGTTCTCCGTCTATTTTTATTTTTTTATTTAATTTTTTTTTTTATCATACTGTATTGTAACTCATTCCAATAGGTTTAGACTCATTCACAATGCATTTTAAACTTTGATATTACAAAGGACACATTTCATGCGAGTGTCCCATAATCAGAAGTACAGTACCTCTATTTAGGGACACCTGTATTTATAAGAGATAGAACATTTTTTATCCTAATTTTGGCCCCTTGAAAAGAGTAGTAAAGGACTGTATAATATTGGGCGTTGAAGTTGCTTGTGTCCATTCATGGCCGTAACCAGCAAACCCTATAAATTAGACAACTCCATTCTCTAACCTAAGAATAGAGTACATGTATGAAGCAAACTCTACTTTGGCCTACTACTGAACAGGGATAGCCCATTGAAATGGTAAATAAAATAATGCAAAGAAAAATTTAATAGATATTATGGTACAGAGAAAAGGGAAGGTACTGTAATTGATCCAATGATACACCTTCCCTCATAGAATGATCTTCGACCAAAAATTGTTTTGCTGTGATTAAATTTTATGGACACCATTGACAAAAACTGACATTATGTGGTCTATTTTGTACCTGTTGCAGTTTAGTATGCCGACCATGTTGCCCTGTTGTGTTCTGTTCCTGTGTTGGGCTCAGATTGCAGGACAGGAAGTTTGCGATTTCATGACAGGATGAAAGAGACGTTTCAAATTTTCTTACATTAGCGTAATAAGTACTGTAATTTCTAATGTGTTGGTGTTACTGTAATAACGGGGAAACATTCGATCAATTTTGTGTGTTACCTGTAACAAAAAGGTGTCAATAGATCCTTATTGTACTGTTGGACTATTCACCAGATAATATAATATAATTTTTTATTTTGTCCTCATTCTAATTGGAAAATCAAAATTTCGGCTGGGCCCTTCAGGACCAGTGGTAGCCGTAGTGCAGCACCACCCAGTTTAACTATAAACACACCGTATAACGGACACATACGGATACAAACATTGTGCTAATGAGGGTTAAACGAGGAGTCAAGCGATCAGACTCTAATTAAAACCTGACGCTGGCCGGATTTGATCCAGGGTCTTTAGCACAAGAAGCGGGAACAATACCTCTCAGCCAAACACTCCGCCCTAGAAGTCCTGGATTACACCAAAGTTAGAAACACTCTCTAGAAAAATATTAAGAAAAATATGAAACCATCGGACAATATGTTAATAATATGTGAGGTCTCACTACAAAATGAGTCTCATCGTTAGAAAATCAAAAAATGAGTTTATATTACATTTTGGTAGATCACATTATAAACTTTAATTTGGTCTTTGAATAGCTTCCCTAGGATAAATAGATCCATAGATGTGAGCATTTAAAGTTTACGTGTATAAGAACCAGGTTTTGAGAAAATCGGCCTCAAAGATAAACTAACCTGTACAAATAATAGGACTAGAATTACAGAATATGCAAAGAGAACACTGTTTTAGTAAGAAAATTCACTTAAAAAGTACACAGTCATAAAATATACCGGTAAGTATCAAGTTATTCAAAAACATTGAAATCAAAATTGTGTAAAAATGTTGCCTTTGACCTATTCTGGTGAATATCTCAATATGATTTCACCAACGATGCGTTACATTTCTTGGTGAGACCTCACATATTCCGTGTGTTTTGAGACTGACATAGGACTTTCTAAAATGCTAGAAAGAGCTTGTTAGTCTTAGTACGTCCATCTCATGGCAAAACAACATAATTGCTATTATATTTTTGTGCAGTTACTTTGTTTTAATACCTTGGCATGGAACGTAGAGCTTGATTCATTCTGACAGTCTCTCAACAGAACAACAACATTAATATATTAAGTACCGTAAACAAAATACCATACATCAAGAAAGACACTGATTTGTATAGCTTGCATGCATCTTTAAACAAAATATTAAATTTCTTTATGAAATTTGATAGAAATCTTAAATGTAATATCCTTAAAGTAGGGCGTATGGATCACTCAACAATGGCAATTTATAGTGTTGTATAGACAGTATAAAATCTACTTTAAAGTTAATATAGTTTTAAGTATTAAAAAGCACTGAAGTCTTACTTTATTCTACATTTTTTAACAACAGTATAAGCTGTACAATTTCAATTAGGAACTGACTGGGAATTCAAAATTTATTGAGGTTTCCAGTAGAAATGCCAAACTTTCTCTTTAATCGGCAAGTGGTGCAAACTTGTTGGAAATCTTTCATGAGATTCCTCTATTATAGTACAGGACTGTTGTTATAATTTTGAACTTTATTTGAACATCTGTTTATACACCTCTTAATATTTAATATAATAAAAATGGTGTAACACTTAGGCCTACTGTACAATCAGATTTGAATGAACAAAGACATTATTTTAAAAAATATGTATGTTGATAGCGTATTCTCGAATGTTACCTCAGAACTGTGGAACAACAACAATAAAACAGAATTCCAAGGAAAACACTAAAAAGTTAAAACCAGGGGTGGATCCAGAGATGTCCGAAAAAGGCGGTCCAAAAATCAAAAGTAGCCTCGAAAAGAAGCCCATCTCAAAAAGAAGCCCATCCAAAGTTTGCAAGAAGCCCAGGGCCTCAATTCGAGGTTTTACGGCAGGCTTTGTTCACTCTTTGTTCACGCTTTTTATTCATTTTCACTGCCATTTACCTCTCTAGCCCTATCTCACCTACATAATTGTTTATAACCATTCTTGCCTGACTTCTTGATACTGTCTGAGTTTTTCTACCCTCACTCACTCATCACTGAGGAAGGACTATACTGAACTCCAGCCAGCCTATTCTACAATACGTCTTGAATTACTGCAGAATAATGTGTTGATTCTTGGATTCATTCTTAATTGAAAAATTATAAAAAAAAGTGGCCTACATTTTTCCGATTCTGGGTTAGCCAGCTTTGGCAACACAAAGTTTTACTTTAGGTTTTCACAGTATCATGCGAAAAGGTACAAAATGATTAATTTTGCTTGGATTACTTATTATTATAGAAATTGAAGATTCTCCTGCCATAATGGTGTGCTGTAGTTGTGTTGGTGCTGTTACTACAAGGTGCTATAGTTGCAGAAAGCGACAGAGGTTTCGTAGGAAACGAAAAGCAAGCAAGGTAAAGTGTCAAAATTATAAAAAAATATGTGACCGGCTCTGGCAAAACTAGCCATCTGTCTCAATAATTTCACACAAGCGCCCAAAATGCTTGAGATTCAGAATTTTGAACGTTTTCGGTTTTTATTTTGCATTTTGTTGAAAGATATATTGAAGAAAATTTCTGCAAAATTTCAGTCTCAAAATCTACTGAAATGTACATTTTGAAAAGACAACTTCATAATTAACTATTGATTTTGGAATAAACTTTGCTTCTACTCAACAAATTTTAAAAAAATAAACACTGTTTAAGGGATGAATTCATGCAGAATCTTAAGATATCTAACCAGAACAAATTTTTCTAACGGGTGAATCAGAATTATACATATTATAAGTTATGACCAGTGGTATGCAAACATGGAAAAATCCTGATTTGTCATTATAAACAAATAATTGCATATTTATGCAGCGTAAGCAATGTTAGTAGGTATAGTGTCATACTTGCTCCTGTCTTAGGTGAGAATTTTTTATGCCTTGTTTCGCGAACTCACCGACCACCAATAATGATGATTTTGAATAAAAATTTTATTTTATTTTTGGCCAGTTAGAGCACCCGCTGAAATGAAAAACTGGAAATTTCATAAAAAAAGTTTTTCTTTATGTTAATTATGCCCGCCGCTGCTTTGAAATCTCCAAAAATAGGATATATTTCTTCCTAATAATGTATAAATTTAAATCATTTAACCATCCCATTTACTACACTTAAACACTTTTCAACAGTAACATTTTATTTTTGGCAATTAGAGCACCTGATACCATGAAAACTGGAAGTTTCAGAAAAAAAAGAAAGTTTTTCTTTATCTTAATTATGCCCGCCACTGCCTTAAAACCTCCAAAAATAAGGTGTATATTTCTTCCTAATTATATTTATATTTAAAGCATTAACCATCCCACTGCTACATATTCACATTCAACAATAAAATTTAAATTTTATTCTCACCTCCACATGGATGTTTTTGGCAAAACCATTTGCTGAATTAAAGAGAACTTTATTTTTATTATTTTTCCACCCTTCTTGGACGATCTTTAAAAAATAGGTTTGCGAAACAAGGTATAAAAAAAGTCTCGCTTTATGTACATAGAGTTGAAATATTGAATTAACATCTCAAATGTGTATCTAACTATGCATTATTTCATCCATACCATATTAATAACTCATATTTTTTGCACCTTCTTTCAGTGCGAGAAAGTCTGGTTTGTGTTTCTGGTCATCACGTTTATTGTATCCTTGGCAAACACTTTTTACTGGTTTTCAATCTCAAATGATTCCAATACAATCAATAAGTAAGTAGCAAAATTAACATTTCTTTTGTATACTATGCAAATGTTGTTGTGCATTGACTTTTAGGTTTGAATTAAATTTATTTCATGATGTGAAACTGAAAATAGAATATTAATAATGAATCACTATAATATTATAAATCCAAAACTATTTAATTTCTACTTTTGTGTGATGGGTTTTATGTTGTTTCTTCCGTTTAATTGTTTGTATTTTATTTGAATAGTCTTTCGCTTCTAACAGCAAGTGCAAATCTTAATTTCAGTATGATGGAATTATGTGAACTTTATTTAAAATTAAGTGTGACATTTATCGTCAAATCCAGAGTATTCTTTTTTGTGCATAGTTTAAATTACACTGGACAACAAATGCATGAACATATTAAAACACTTATAGTAATCATAATTATTCTAATAATAACTGTCATGATAATCACAATTGTTATATAAAAATTTATTAACTTTCGGACTAAAGCACTTGTTTTCCATGAAGGCAGATTGCTAAAGCCTGCAGTATTTATGTAATAATTTAAAATGATAACGATGATAATGAAATAAAAGTAATAATAAAATTTTAAAAATCAGGACAAATTATATTTATAAAGAATACTTTCTCCATAGAATTTTGATATGCCCCAAAGAAGCAATTACTATATCAACCAAATTATCCTGGACTACTACTGTACTCTTTTTGATTAAATTTGGTCATTAATATGTTCGCTACCAGTGACGAGTATACTGGTGATATTGATAGTACTGTAGTATGATGGTGATATTAATAGTAGTAGTGGTAATTATAATAACAATAAAAATAATAATTCATAGGATTTTATATTTGTATAGGTAATGTTTTTGTAATGAATCACCTGAAATCATTTTATTATGTATGATGATTGAATAAATATACCAGAATATATACTCGTCATACAGGGTGGGGCACCAACCACAATCTAGTGCTAATTATTACTTCACTGTAAATACATTGTAGATTGTAGAACCATAGATGTAGGGAAGAAGGTACACCTAGACAAATAATGTGTGTTTGTTGCAATATATTGCCTTTAGTACAGAATATGACACATGTTAGGAGGCACCCTCTGAACACCAACCTGTGTGAAAAGCAATAAAAAAATTGTCCTATTACCAGCGAAGAGTTTACTTTGTCACCTTAAAAATTCTCCCGCCAGTTTAGTATGCTTTTATGTATTAGGCATCCAGGGTAAGATAAACTACTTTTTACAACAAAAAATGACAGACAGTGAAAAGCTTGCAACACATATATTATTTAAAAAATTATACGGTAAAATATGTACTATGTCAGATTTGAAAAAAAATATGAATATTTTGATCTATGGACATATCCTTACTAAATTGGTTGATTTGACACTTGTATATGATTCATGTACAGATGGAGATTAGTAGATTCAAAGACAAGATTTGTATGCATCAAATTTAATTTGCTCAATCAATTTTTTTGCTTTTTTCCTTTAAGGATATATGCCTATTGGGAGTTGGTGTCGACAGTAAAGTATATTCTGACTAAATTCTTTTTTTATTGCAAAAATTTAAGTTTCTTCACTAAAGACTTCTCTTTGCAATCAGAAAGTAATTTTAATAGCTTCAATTTTACAAAATTTTTCATGAGATGATTAAAAACTTTTTTTTTTTATTACACAATGGACAGAGAGCCAGGATTTGGCAGTCGGCACCTGCAATGTAGGATCTGTGTAGATTAAAAACAATATATTTATACCAGGTTTCTACATCATGAAAGTATAATTCTTTTTAAATAAACCAAGAAAGATGTTCCATTTTGATTTTTCGACCCTTTGGGTATCACAAAACGTAAAATCTAGTGATTTTCTGTGGTAAAACAACAAAGCTGCAAGATTACAGAGGCAAAACAACGTATCTGCGATGTAGATATGTTGTTTTTCCTCGGAATGGTATTCAAAAATTGTTTTGAGCTAAATGGAGTTTGGCAAGGCAAAATCATCTGGTTATTGGTGTTTTCATATCAACAATCGTAACAGCGACGTATGAACAAGCTAGATGATGAATGTGATTGCTTCAAACATGATAAATTCCAAAAAATATGTCACAAAACAATACCATGTCTGACATGTTTCTGAGGCAAAACAATGTATCTGTGAATATCGCTAATAACTTTGCAATAAACAAATGGTTGTAATTAAAATTTTACATAGTCACAATGTCTATAGATGTACAATCCTGCAAAATTTCAAAATTGTAGGACAATTTATTGCCAAGTTGCAAACATGCAAGCTTTAACTCTATTTTTCTCCAAAAGTGAAAATTTCAAGATTCATTATTTTGCCACGGAACGGCCGTGGAGTACAGTAGGTAGCACTTTTTATTGGTTTGATGGATCCAGTGAGCAGTGGTAATAATGACAACATCCCCAGTGCTTTGTATATTCTATCCTCCATATTAAATTATTAATTTTTTAGGACATGAAAAGTGAGGTTGTTTTGAAAGCTTTATCTTTCTTCCATTTAGATGGTATTTGAATGCAAAAAGTATGGTAGTTCAATAGCAATCCGCACTGAAGCTATTTTTAGACACAATGTCCATGTGACGTCATTACTCCAACCAGGAAGTAGATATGGATATGGATTCCCTTTATGAAGCTTAAAAAATGTGTATTTCAACTTTATTGTAAAACTACAGGATTTTTATCTGATTGAATACTGTAGCATCTAAAGAATGACAAAAAACTACTGTTGCTACGAGAAATGTAACAGCGAAATCTAGATATAGCGATAGACTACAGTACATGTGAAGGATGTTTTCTTCATCGATTTTCCGAAGCTGAAAATGAACACCACTAGCCTAGGCCATGCCCTCTATGCCTAAATGGTTTTCATACGTAGCAAGAAATTGTTGCGGTAAAGGACCATCTGACCATGATCTGACTACCATCCAGATCCATTACCTGCCTTTACCTGCCAAGAACAAGTCAGTAGTGGTTGTTAAAGTAGATTTCAGTACCCCTTAATATTATACCTAGAGGGATAGAGAGTCAGACTGAGTGTTAGGGGCCTAGGTCTTACTTTTTATATGACATACTGTAGGCATTGATGCTTCAACAAGTCCTTTGTAGTGTATCATTTTAGCATTCAGTTTAACTATATCCAGATTTCAAATACTGTTTGAGTCGGAGGAATTTTTCGGTGATAACTGATACTGTATTATTCTCATCGTCGCTTTCTCCATCCAGTTGGTAGTGGTAGTGTTGGCATAGATTCAACAAGCTCAGTGGTAAATGTGGCCATAGTTGTAGAATAGTGGTAGATCATTTCTTGTAATGTCCTTCCAACCAACTATTGTTGGAAAAATACTGAATAGTGTGTTGATTGCAAACTGCAATCATTTACCACCATCTACAGTGGTGTTGATGTCGATCTAGTCTCTCATTGAACTAGACATACAATCTTTACATAAAAAAAAAATATAAAAAAATATACAATAAAGCAACTTTGAGAGATAATAAGAAAAACAAGGATGTACATTATACAGGGTCATCTAGGCCTTAGGCTGCCGGTTTCAGTCAGTGTTGGTTAGGGGTCTGCAAAAATTGTGAATAAGAACTATATTAGGATATAATAAGAAACAACTTTGTGCTTTCTAGTTCACTTTGCAGAACCACCCCTAACTAGGCTAGGTTGCTTCTATGCCTAGTTAAGGCTTGTGGCAGTGTAGGCCCTATCTTACCTACCTAGGCCTAGTTACTGTAAGCATAATAGGCCCTGCACCGCTAGATATGAATGAGTGAAGATCAATTCCCCAACCTGTTTCAGTTCCCTGTTACAAGTTAGTTAGGATCCGATATAAAGGATCAGGTATCAATCATCCACCACTATGCACTTTGTGGGTATACGACAATAAAGATACAATACAAGGTAATATAGTTAATATTGAGGTTTAATTTCTCAAACAAATGAACAAATGAGCATCTAACGTGTGGATGCACAGCGTCAAGATCAATACTATATGGAGACTCGGTTTCTCGAATGTATAAGCATCAAATGTATGGATGTACAGTGTCAAGAATGCTACAGTTTCACCTACAGGCATACAATGCTACTACAATTTCGCATAAAAATTATAAGGTAATAATTCTTAAAAGTACATCTAACATTAAATAGACACACAGCATAAAATAAAGCATTAAGGATATGTTATCCAGTACTTGACTGACTACTGGCTTGGCTTGTGTATGCGTCGCTACCATACCACGCGTTCTTTAGCGATGTACATTTGACCACATCCAACCGGCTTAGCTTTACAATCCACAGCCCACATGCTTGAATCGGTTGAACAATTCCTGCCGTCATACCACAATCGCTCTACAAGGCCAGAACACCCAGGCTCAATCTGTTGCTAATTTCAGGCTATCTCATTCAACGAGGTGTGTCTTTCAGTTCAATCTCACCCTCCAATGAGCAGAACTAGCCGCAATGAGACAATTTCCAGGCTACACCAACGTTTCGCCCTAGTAGCCAACACTGAAGAGAGCGACTTCCATCTGCTGCACTGTTATATACACAATCAGCCAAGTATGGAAGGCCATCGATTCATAATAAATCGTTGGAAAGCCAACACGGCAAAATACTTGTAACATTCCCTACAAGTCAACCACCGTTTCAGTTACATATTAGTATGCGATTCCACTTACCATTAAAACCAGCACTAAAAAACACCATTTTCAGACAAAATATAACATTGCGTTTTGTGTGTTTAAGATAAGCGTGATGTGTCTTTGCCCTACCATCGTCACTTCACCGCTAGAGGGCATAAATATATTTTATCTTGATGTCATCGATGGGGTGCACTATTTTATCAGATGGGCTTTTTTGGGAAAAAGTCTTTTGGCCAAATCATAGAAACCCTCCTATTTACAGGCCTGCAATTATGATTAATATTTTTTTCATCCATGAATAAACTTCAAGATCCTTTAGTCACTCCAGTTTTCATACCTTTAC